TATCTTCTATTTGTAGTATATTTTAAAAGACATCTTCATTCTCTTCCTTACCATGTATGCATTCTCCAAAGTTTCTATGATAAACATATTTTATAAGTTAGAAGAAATATTTTTAAAAGGGAGAGCAGAGCTATTGTTATACAACAAGTTATTAAACCTAGTATGTGCTACCAACTATAATAAAACAATATTTTTTTCAGATAAGATACCCGACTCATTCAGAGGACAAAGGTAGGCAAATGAGTAAAAAAATAAAATAATTTCATCTTATATAAGGTGTTCCAGGAATTTCTCTCTGAGACGAGAATACCAGGCCTGGACACAAAAGAAAGAGCTCCAGTTGAGATCTCAAAGAAAGAGAACTATGAGAACAAAGAACCTGGTCAGAGAAAGACTTGGCTTCTTCCATGTCTGAAGGAAAGCCCTATACTGCAGAAGTGGGAAGGAGAACTGGATCAGGAAAGAGGAGGGGAAGGGAATAAGTACAAATATACAGAAACCAGATTATAAAATGAGCTTTACTTATGTTAGGATGAGGAAGTTATCCAATGCTTTTATACAAAGAAATGATGTGATTTGAATTACATTATTAAAAGTCAGTATGGGTGCTATATAGAAAATAGGCAGAGGCAGGAAGCAGAGAGCACTCAGGAAGCCTTTGCAGTAATCCAGAGAAATAATACTAGTAGCTTGAATTGGGGATGGGAAGGGTGTGTCTTAGTTTATTTTCTCATTGCTGAGACAATATACCCAACACCCAAAGTGAAGGGAGGAAAGATTTATTACAGCTTACAGTTTGTAGAAGTTTCAGTTTATAATTAGCTGGCTCCAAAACAAGGTGGCATGGCAGAAGGGCATCACAGAGGAGAAATGGTCCACAGCAAGGAAGCAGGCAAGAGTACATTATCCCTCTTCCTGTCCCTTATACTTTATGCACGTTACACCACCCTAGGGCAGATGTAACACTCACACCCTTAATCCTAGCCAAAACTAGTAACCACGCACCCTTGATCTCAACACCACCACCTTTCATCCCAGCACCACCCCTGAAAAGCCCCCAACCCCCAATGATCACTTGAGTCTTTGGGGAGATATTTAGACACAAGCCATAACATTTTGCCCCTGACCCCTGAAAGACTCGTGCACATCCCTTTATGCAAACGGCATTTAGTCCATCTCTAAGAGTTGCCCAAGTCCTAATAGTTTCAGAATTACTGAAAAGTCCTAATCCAAAGTCTCCTCTGAGATTTAAGGCAAGCTCTTACCTGCTAGCCCTATAAAAGTGAAAAGGAAGCTAAACAATTCCAACATTCAATGGCACAAGATAGACATTTCCATTCCAAAAGGTAGACATAGGGGGATACAAAGAAATGGGAACAAAGCAAGTCCAAATCCAGCAAGGCAAACATTAAGTCTGGTAGTTCCATGTCCAGCATCCGAGACAGTCTGTGGCAAGATGTTAATTACAAAGGGCTGGATGGCTCTGCCCCTACAGCACTTCCAGTAGTTATAGCTCCCATGACTTCTCTCTTGGGCCAGCTCTGCTCCTTCCTTACAGTTTTTCTCAGATTATCCACATACCTGGCTTATCGAAACTTCTGGGGTCTCCAGTACACCTTTGGCTTCACACTCACAGCTAAACACACTGCTTTCTCAGGAGCACACTACTTCATCTCCCCAGCTTTCTTTTAAATCTGGGTGTAAAGTTTCTTGACCTCACAACTCTTGCATTCTGTGTGCACCTAAAACCAGTGCCATATGGATGATGCCAAGGTCTGCTGCCAGCTTGAGAAGTAGCCAGGCTTCCTTCTCTCTTGGCTGTAGGCAGGGGTCAAGTGTCTATGAACCAAATGCTGAGGAACAATTTCCTTAGGTTGCTGCCATTCTGGAATATGGCACCTTGGGGCTTTCTTCCCAAAGCAAAGTCATTCACTTTTGCAATTGTCAGCCTTTGTAAAGACTGGAGTACTGCTGGTTCTTGTGAGGTCCTCAAGTCATCTTTTCTGTTGTCTTCTGAAATGCTTGAGTTTTTCTTGCTAGTCTTTTCAGTGACAATTTTCTCCTCTATTCCATCTTTACAGTTTGCAATTTTCCTGGAGCTTCCTTTAAACTCAAAACATTTTAAATAGTTCTGCTGGGTTCCTTGCTTTTGATTTTCAATATAGATCAGGCTACAAGCTCCCAATTGTAGCCATGCCATGGCCTCAGCATTAGACTACCTTGAAATTTCCTCTTCAAGATTAATTAGTCCACTACCTTAATCTCAGTCTCTGGACACAAAATGCAGACAAACTTTCTGCCAAGGCATAACACACATGTTCTGGAGTCCAATAGCCAGTCCAGTCTTCCTTCCTAGCAGAAACCTCCCAAGCCTGGTCTTTACCAGAAGCATTTCTATCAGCATTCTGGTTTTCTAAGCTCTGACCAGAATCTCCCATCAAGTATAGCTTAAAGCATTTTAAGGATGCTTATTCAGCCAGCATCTGCGTACCTTTCCAAACTCTTCCCACAGCTAGTTCCAAAGGCTCCTGAACCATATCATCGGGTACACCCACAGAAACAGCCCCACTCCTGGTACCAAATTCTATCTTAGTTATTTTTCTCATTGCTGAGACAAAATACCCAACACCTAAAGTTAAAAGAGAATTGTAGCTCACAGTTTGTGGAGGTTTCAGTTCATAGTTGGCTAGCATCAAGTCAGGGTGGCATGGCAGAAGGGCATCACAGAAGAGAAACAGTTCTTAGCATGGCAGGCAGAAGACAACAAAACAGTGAAGTAGTGAAGCAGCCTTCTTTCTATCCCTTACATTTTCTCCAGGACACCTGCCCTTTGAGTGGATTGCACTCAGACTCAGGGTGGGACACCCTTAATCCCAGCATCACACTCTTAATCCCAGAGTCACAACCTTAATCCTATCATCACAAATCCTAGATATATCCACCTCCAAAAAGCCCCACCTATGACAACATAAGGCTTTAGTGGGACACCTAGATACAAGCCATAACAAGTACTGGGATGGCTCCAGCTTTGCTCTTTCTCCTTATGATTGCTCTAGCCATTATGCATCTTTTGTGTTTTCACACAAATTTCAGTATTGTTTTTTCTAGTTCTGTGAAGACTATCACCTTAATCATTTCCAGTTGCATTGATTGGAGTGTTTATTTCATGATAAGGTGGGTTAAGGGTTGATCTATCTTGTTTATTCTTTTGAAGAACCAGCTCTTTGACTCACTGATTTTTTTTTTGTATTTTTTAGTCTCAATTTCATTAATATCTGTTCTGGTCTTTAGAACATCCTTTCTTGTACTAGCTTTGGATTTGGATTATTCTTGTTTTTCTTTTTTGGGGATCTTGAAGTGTATCTTTAGTTTATTTATCTGGGCTCACATTATTATTCTGATGTGGATATTCACAATTACAAACTTCCCTCTTAGGGCTGCTTTTATTGTATCCCATAAGTAGTGGCATTTATTCAACTATTCATCTCTCCAGGAATAAGATGACCAAATAGATCATGACCTATAAATTAAAAATTGAGGGGCGAAAAATAAAACAAAATGGACCAAAAATGCATACCCACTATTAAACAAGAGATTTCTTGAATTGTTTAAAAATCAGATGCCATTTCTCCAAATTAATGTTATAAACTCAGAGACTCTACATTTTTTATGTGCTAACTTCTTAGACTAGGTGACTTGAATTCATCAATAACAACAAATCTTGTTCTGTGTCCTTCCTGCCACTCATGATTAATCCCTATGCTGAATGTTCTAAAAATTAGTTTTAAAATATTCTACAAAGAGACAAGGTAAATGGGGTGGAAGTAGGGGAGGTCTTTAAAAAAATGAGAGCCTTGGATATTTTGATCCTCAATCTGTATAGTACTGAGTCACTTTAAAAATATGAGATTTTTTTTAGGCTCCAACTTCAGTTCCTTTTTATGAGAAATAAACACCTAATCATTTGAAATTTAATCTGAATCTCCAGAAGATTAATTTAAAGCTTAGCAAAAGCATGTAGAAGTATAGGGGACTGAGCTCCAAGTACAATCACTTTCTTCCCATCCCAAACCTGTCTATCTAATGCCAGAAAAGTTCTGAAGTAGTATAAACAAAGACAGAGATTATTAGAATCTTGAAGATTCTTTTTGGACATGTGAGTGACCCTTGTCATGGGAATCAAGTGATGTTCTTAATAATCTTGATACAGACAGAAAATTTAAGAACACTACTACGTCCTTATCCCAGAGCATGTCTTTTGAATCCTCTCAGATCATTGATAATGTTCATGTTATCTACCAAGTTAGCCTTAAGTTAATATTTCTTAATTACTTTTCTCCAGAAAATTTGATAGTTTTACCCATGAGATTGGTAGACAATAGTATTCGAGTTATTGAATTAATGGGTTAGGCTTAACACAGCTATTGTTCAATAATATTTCAGACGACATTAAAAATCCCACTTCTAATGGGGGTTTTCTGAGAATCCAAATGGATTTCATGCATTTTAAGCGAGCACCTACCCCTGAGCTACACCCCCAGCCCAAAAGTCTCACATTTTTCCTGCCCTAAGTCATCAAGCAGCTGCATTTAGATGAATGTTTAGAGAGTACTAAGTAAATACACTTATCCATTCTTTTTTTTAATTCAGAAACTTTCTAAATGCAAGAATCATGCATAACCCCAATGACCTCCACAACAATGCTCTTTTACAAAGTAAAGGGTCAACCTACTCTTACAAAAGTGTTTACCTAGAAAATAGTTAAACTAATGTAGTTATTTCAGGAGATGAGAGACAAAGGAAGTACCTTGAAGCAAGCAATATGAAGTACATGTTTTACTTTGTTTTATTCACGGGTATATTCAAGTGAATAGAAAAAAAATACCTAGCAAAGAGTAAATACTCAATATATATTAAATTAATAATGAGCAAACATCTTTCAAACAAAAAATAAAGTCATTCTGCTCTTCCCAGTATATTCAGGAATTATTGCTATCCACAGACTGATGAAAAGCTTCCACACCCCCAGCAACTCCAGCACCAGCACTGGCTTCATCCTCCTGGGCTTCCCCTGCCCAAGGGAGGGGCAGATCCTCCTCTTTGTGCTCTTCTCTGCTGTCTACCTGCTCACCCTCATGGGAAACGCTTCCATCATCTGTGCCGTGCGCTGGGATCTGAGACTGCACACACCCATGTACATCCTGCTGGCCAACTTCTCCTTCCTGGAGATCTGGTATGTTACTTCCACAGTCCCCAACATGTTGGCCAACTTGCTCTCTGACACGAAGGTCATCTCCTTCTCTGGGTGCTTTCTCCAGTTCTATTTCTTTTTCTCCTTGGGTTCCACGGAATGTTTTTTCCTGGCAGTTATGGCCTTTGATCGGTACTTTGCCATCTGCAGGCCTTTACACTATCCATCCATTATGACCAAACGTCTCTGCACTAATCTTGTGTTAGGCTGCTGGATTCTTGGTTTCCTCTGGTTTCCAGTCCCCATCGCCATCATTTCACAGATGTCCTTCTGTGGATCCAGGATTATTGACCACTTCCTGTGTGACCCAGTTCCTCTGTTAGCCCTCACCTGTTCTAGATCCCCTATAATGGAGTTCTTCTGGACAATTATAAGTTCTCTGCTCCTGTTTATTCCTTTCTTCTGTATCATGGGGTCCTATGCTCTGGTTCTCAGAGCAGTATTGAGAGTTCCTTCAGCAGCAGGACGAAGAAAGGCCTTCTCTACCTGTGGGTCACATCTGACTGTAGTTTCACTCTTCTATGGCTCAGTGATGGTCATGTATCTGAGCCCAACTTCTGAACATGAAGTTGGAATGCAAAAGCTTGTTACCTTGTTTTATTCTGTAGGAACCCCATTCATTAATCCTGTGATCTATAGTTTGAGAAACAAAGACATGAAACATGCCCTACAGAAATTTCTTGGAACATGAAAGTAAGAACCTTGACCCTCCCAAAAAATTCTTGCAAGCAACTCAACACCAAAAATAATAATACAATTTAAGATGGGAACATGATGTGAATAGACAACTCTCACAAAAGGATATACAAATGGCCAGCAAGTAATAAAAAAGTATTCAATATCCCTAATCATCAGAAAAATTCAAATTCAAATTGCAATGAATATCTCTTCCCAGTTAAAATTCCTAAAAGACAAAAGTAACAAATGCTGGCAGATGTATGAAGAGCTCCACAAACATATCTATCACTGTTGGTGTGAATGCATATTAGTACAGCCACTCTGGAGAACAGAAAGGAGGTTCAACAAATAAAAAAATAGAACTGCCATATGATCCAGGTATCCCATTAATAGATCTATACCCCAAAATAAGTGATATTGGTAGGTAAAAAAAGATATCTGACCTGGCATGTTTATTGAAGCACTAGTCACAATTTGATTCCAAGATATGTAATCATATCTTGTGCTTTGGGATCAGGAACTACCCACACAGAAACATGGGTAGAACTGGAGAACATTATGTTAAGTGACATGTCAAGCACAGAAAGGCAAATATTGCATGTTTTCATCTATATGTGGAAGCTAAAGTGTTGGTTTCATAAAAGTAGAGAATACATAGAGTTTACCAGAATCTAGCAAGAGTAAAGAAAGGACATAAAAAGAATATAGTTGAAAAGTCTATTGGTTAATCTTAACTGACTGGATTAAGAGATTTCTGTAGAGGTGATTGGGTTGTGAAGGGCACTAATCATATCAATGGATCAATTGAATGGGCTATTAGGAGGCAAGGTTTAGTTGGAAGAAGTGAGTCATGTGGGCATGGCCTTGGAGACTAGATCTGGTCCCTGTTCCCTTCTTCTAGTGCTATTTCCCCTGCTCTCTGCTTCTAAGCACCATAAAGTAACAATTTGCTTCACCACACTCTTCCACCATGGTGTTCTGCCTCACCTCAGACTCACAATAATGGAACCAGGAAATCATGGTTTCTTGATTTCCATGAAAATGAAACCATGAGCCAAATAAATCATTTCCTACTTTAAGTTATGTATGTCAGGCATTTGTCCCTGCAACAGGAAACCTAATACAGTGGATACAAGTGCACAATATAGTGATGCAATTGGATAAGTGGGGTTAACTTCTAATATTCTATAGCATAGAAGAATAACTATGGTTAATGACTGCTGGTTGCATATTTTTGAATAACTAGTTGAGAAAGTGTTGAATATTCTCAGCATAAAGAGATGATAAATGTTTCAAGTGACAAGGCTGAATTGATTACTATACATTGTACAAATGTGTTGAAATGTCACACTGTACCTCATAAAGATGTGCAACTATAATGTTATAAAATAGATTAAAATCTATTATTAAAAGGAAAAAATCCTTGCACAACTGGCCTAGCTTCATACTTTTCCAGCTGAAAATTTTAAGTGAAAAGCTGGTACCAATCTAATAATTGTTCATCCCATGATACTTGGCCAATACATATAATCATACATATATATGTACAAGAGTATTCATTGCTACATTGTTTGTAACAGCAAATTATTGGAAACTATTAAATTCTCATTAATTTTGTTTAGGTTTAATCATGATATAGCCATATAACAGACTATCTGTTTCTTTTTAAATAAGGGAGTTTTAGTTGCACAGATAAAGAAAACCCAGTAATTATGGTGGGATGGTGTAGCATTTGCCCAGGTACCAATAACTGGTCATGAAAGAGAACAAGCAGCTCTTACTAGTGCCCAAGGGAAAGAAGTAGAAGTAAGCAAAACAACAAGAGAAGGAAATAGAATTGGATTGAGGATTGATTAAAGGTTGTGGATTGTGGGGGAAACATGCAAGAATGAAGTCACACCCTATAACTCATCAGCCCAGGCTGGAAGAGCAAACTCATGACCTGTGCTTTAATTCAAGTTTTGCCACTCACTAGTTGTCCAATGGCAGAAAGTGATAAAAATTCTGTGAGGTGGCTTCCTTTATAGGTAAGATTAAATCTAGCCTTTCTAAACCCTAGAGGCACAAAAAGGATGAAATGAGATTGTTGTATACAAATTGCTCTCATTGCTATGTAGTCTCAGCAATTGGTTTTATAATGATTATTCCATATATTTTGCATTAAACTGAGAATAGGAGAAAAGTATATTGTCAACCTTCAACTTACAATTCAATAAGATTAAAAAGAGATTGTCAGAAATTTAGGCTAATATTCCAAACTTACTTTGAATCAATAGTAGAGTAAAGTGATACATAGAAATAAGGATAACTGTTATTAAGGCTATGATGCGATTTGGGATGGCAGACTGTGAAGGGATCTGCCTTCTCTGAACTAAGATTGTAATTCCAGGTAGACACAGGTCATGTATAAGTTGAGTATCTCTTATCCTAAGTGCTTGGGCCCAGCAGTATTTCAAATTTCAATTTTTTTAAATTTTGGAATACTTTCATATACATAATGGATATGTTAGGGCATAAACACAAAACAAGTCTAAACACAAAATTTGTTTATGTTTAATATACATAATATAAACAAATAATATAACATACATAAGCTGAAGATCATCTTATACAGCATTTTTGGTGCATCTGCCTTTTCACTGCAATATACCACCTGGGTTTGCAGGTGATGGGATTCTCACTTGTAGTATTCCAGGTCACTACTCAAAAAGTTCTGGATTTTGAGGCATTTGGACTTGAGATTTCTGTATTAAAGATATTCAGTCTATATAGTGTAGAAACGGTCAGCCCTACTCTAATTCAATGTGAACTAAACTGTCAAATAGTTAATATAAAAAATTAATATAAAGGCTTAGAGGAAGGGGATTCTGGGCTGCTGTCCAACGCACCGAACGCAGCCCAGAAGAAGGGGCTTCTGAGCTGCCGTCCCACTGCTCCCAGGCGGGTGGAAGGGGCTACAAGGCTACAGTCCTTCCAGATGCTCCCAGCCCAGAGGTAGGGGCATTCGGGCCACCCTGCCTCGCACCACTCCCAGACCAGAGGGAGGGGCTTCCAGGCTGCTGTCCATCCCACCTATCCCAGTCCAGAGGAAGGGGCTTCTGAACTGTCATCCCAACATTGCCAGCCCAGAGGAAGGGGCTTCCAGGCTGCTGTCCTTCCTGCTGCTCCTGGCCCAGAAATAAGGGCTTCTGGGCCACCAGTCATCCCATCATTCTCAGCCCAGAGGAAGGGGCTTCTGAGCCACTGTCCCACCTCTCCCAGCTCAGAGGAGGTGAGCCATGTGGGCACCAACAGCAAACCCCCCCCCCCCCGAGGTTGAAATGAAAAGACACATAAATAAGTCTCAAAATCAGACGTCCCGATCACCTACAGCAACCCCAAAGGGAAATGAGATGGAACGCTCTAATACTCAACCACCTGGACACACTGAACTGGAAACAAAAAAGGATCTGGAAAAAATGAAATCAGAAATAATTTCTCAGATAACAGCAGAGATTGTGCT